GCTGGTACTACTACGTTGTTTTCCTAGTCACGGTGACGACATCAAAATGCGTCTTTTCCAAAGCGACATCTCCATTACCAAGGGGGACACCTGCACACCCATACCCTCTGTCAAGTACTTTGCGCGAGCAGCTTTTGCAACCAGTGTGTTCAGAAATATTGCGGAGACAAAAGCTCAAGAGCATCCATCGGCAGTCATTTCGCTCCTACGTCAAGACCAAGTGCGCGACTTGGAATGGAGAACCGTTCTTCTCTTCCTGGAGCTATACAATTTCCTCATGAGGGTTACCGATGACGGCGACTTCTTGCCGTCGGAGGCGCAGTTCCAAGGATCACAGAGCGCCGCGACCACGAGAATACGATCTAGTGGTCTCAGTTTAGATGAGCTCAAGCGACTTGTTAGCTTCTTGAAGCACCTCTCATTTCCTCTTTATTACAACATTGCCGAAATCCTGCCCCCGCCCCGTCGACCTGCCCGTCTGCCAGCTCTGATGGGTGTTAGCTCCACTACGGCCGAGCCACCGGTTGAAACCAAAGCCCTGCCATCGTCCTTCGCCGGCATCATAGGTATGGATGTAATGAGTCTCCGTGCTACGGCGACCACTACCATGCGTTCGCTCTATGAAAGGGATTCTCGTAGACCCTTTTTACCCCAGGACTTCTGGTTAATGACAAAGCGATTCGATATGGAGGGCTTCATATCAGCTGTTCTGGCAGAAGAGCAGCGCAAGTACGAGCTAGCGGAAGAAGACGATTCGGATTCTGACGAAGAGGGAGCGAGCTCGCGTGATCTATTTCACACGTCTACTGGGCAGCGACTTTCACGTGCTGCCCAGATCGAAAAGCAACGCCAATTGCGAAAGCACCAGCGAGAGCAACTGCTGGCTCGTGCGGGGCCGAAGCTTGAGATCTTGCGGAACATGCCATTTGCAATCCCCTTCCACACAAGAGTCCAAATTTTTCGACAGTTTGTCTTCATCGATAAGACAAAAAGACGCATGGGCCATGTTGATCCTGACCGATGGCGTCTGGCTATTTTGACGGATAGCGATGGGGGCATATTCAATGGTCCATCGGCAAGAGGCCGGGACATACTTGGACGTCACACAGCCAGGGTCAAGCGCGGAGACGTATTTGAGGATGCATTGGATCAGTTCTATCCACTGGGAGAGGGTCTGAAGGAGCCTATACAAATCACGTTCGTGGACCAATTTGATAACGCCGAAGCTGGAATCGATGGCGGTGGTGTTACAAAGGAGTTCCTGACCACTGTCACGAGCGAGGCCTTCGCACCTGGCCCAGATGGGCAGAACCTTTTCGTTGCCAACAGTCAAAACCTCCTCTCCCCGAACCCGAGCGCTTTTGACGACCGAATTGCGCTGATGCGCTCGTTTGAGTTCCCCGAAGGGAGTTCTGACTGGAAAGACGGCCTGGTAGATCTAGCCAAACGCTACGAGTTCCTTGGTCGGTTGGTGGGAAAGTGTATGTACGAAGGCATCCTCATCGATATTGCCTTCGCCGGCTTCTTTCTTCTGAAGTGGTCTTCAGTAGGACAGAGCGCCGGGGCGGATTATCGCGCGAATCTGAATGATCTACGTGACCTAGATCCCGAGCTGTACCAGGGTCTGATCAACCTCAAGAACTACCCAGGAGACGTTGCCGATCTCGCGCTCGACTTTACAATCACGGATCAATACACAGACGCGGACGGCCAAGTTCGCACAATCACCCGCCCTCTCCGGAAAGACGGGGAGAATATTCCAGTCACGAACAAGGACCGCCCGCTCTACATATCCTACGTCGCGCACCACCGACTCGTGGCCCAGCCGTACAGGCAGACCAAGGCCTTCCTGCGCGGACTGGGCTGCATCATCAACCCGTCGTGGTTGTCGATGTTCAACCAGTCGGAGCTGCAGCGGCTGGTGGGCGGCGACAGCTCCGAGATCGACGTGGACGACCTGCGCAACCACACCCAGTACTCGGGCCTGTACGAGATCGGCGACGACGGCGAGGAGCACCAGACCATCAAGATCTTCTGGCAGGTCATGCGCGGCTTCGCCGACGCCGAGCGGCGCGACGTGCTCAAATACGTCACTTCCACCCCTCGCGCGCCTCTCCTCGGCTTCTCCCAGCTCAGCCCGCCGTTCAGCATTCGTGATGCCGGCACTGACGAGACGAGATTGCCCAGTACCAGCACCTGCGTCAATCTGCTCAAGTTGCCGCGATACACCAATGCGCAGACCCTTAAGGAGAAGCTGCTGTATGCCGTCCAGTCTGGAGCCGGGTTCGACTTGAGCTAAGCCCAGATAGAGGGCTACTTGCGCACTGCCTCGCGCTCAGAGAATATGAAGCCCTCGTTGCGGCAGGTGTTTATTGGCATTTTGCATCCGAAACTGGATTCAAACAGACCCGAAATAGAGAGGAAGAGCATGTTCTATCTGTTGCTAGCATTTGCAAAATCACAATGTCATGGAGGGTAACTGCTCTGAGTATCCAGATGGCGTACGCTGTACATGTACCTACCGCCAACCTCGAGAAGAGGCAAGGCGAGCCGAATATGGGCGGCCTTCCGACCGCAGATGGCGAAAGAGCTTGCCCTCGGCATAGATAATAGATCAATCAGAGGTCTGCAAGTATCTGGGAACTGGTCCACGTGGGATGGAAGGATGGACTTCCATGTGGGTGCAATTTTGCGGCTGTGGGTATGCTCATCCCTAAAGCATCCTAAACCAGTGGAGCCTCGTATGTGAAATATAACCATAAAAGAAATCACGGGGTCCCCAACGAGTTCGGCAAATTCGGCTAAACAACCCCCGGTTCTATAGTGTAAGGGTTATCACATTGGATTCTGATTCAGAATTTTCCAATAATCTGAGTTCGAATCTCAGTAGGACCTCTTATTTTTTGCATTTTTGGCGGCCACTCTGCCGTGTGCCAACTGTCCCCGGCGTCTGGCTGCCGGGCTTGCGGCTTCTCCTAACCCTTGTTTCTTCTCTCTATTATTCCCTTTTTTGCTGTTGTTGTTCTTTCGCCTCGAGTCGTTCATTGCCCGAAGATGCCGCGTTCCTGGTGATCGACAACCTGGGTGGCTGCCTGGCCCCTGATGGCGTGCACGGATCTTGGCAGAGTCTCTTATCAGTCTGGCTTGTCTTCTTGTCTGGGTGTGCTTATCTAAGACTTCTTTTTTTCCAGAAACTGATCGCCACGTTGGGCCCCACCCGGCTCCATGCCCACTGTCAGAGCCACAGTGCCTCCGCCCCCATCCTGCTTCCACCTGCAACCTTCCTAAGCACGAGAACGCGTGGGAGCGACGACAGCAGCACTTGCGATGCCGGTCTAAACAACGCTCGACAGCGCAAAGGAAAAGGCTCAGATCATGTACACGACGTTTGCGGGGCCTGTTAGGGCCCCTTCCGACGACGACAAGGCGACGCCGGCCGAAGCGCCCAATCCGAACTCATCCAAGTCATTCGAAGCTCCCCTGAGGCCCAAGAGGCAGCAGGTCGCTCGAGCCTGTGACTCGTAAGGCCGCCTCCGCGCACTTGTCGCGTCCGCCTCCGAGAAGTCTTTTCTGACGCCTGCTACCAGATGTCGTATGCACCGGATTAAATGCGACAATAGCGTCCCTTGCAGGTGAGAGATAGCCATCCCTTGCATCCCTTATTCACATTCTGCTCCGTGAAACAATCCGTTTTGAAGATCCACATCGACTAGTCGAGGCGCTCCGCCAGTGGATTTCGTGGCTAACCCGAGATTGCGTCGACTAGAAACTGCATCCATCGTGGGGAGCAGTGCAACAACAAAAGCCCGAGTGAGCGGCGCACCCTTCCCCAAGCATATCGGTAAGTGGTTTGAGATCGTATGGGCGGTTGCCTTACCTTGACGAGCTGCCGCTAAGCCGCTGCCTGCCAGCGAGATCGACAGGTTGAAGCAGAAAGTCAAGGAACTCGAAGCGCAGTTGGAAAAGGGACAGAGCTTGGCCAATGCCGGACTCGCGCAGCAAACACCACCGGCGTCAATGCCGACGCCTACATCGTCGCCGCCCAGCTCCATGACAGCCACTCATATAACTGTGCCTCTGCCACTGGACCCTGCCAAACCTCAACGCATCTGGGATGGAATCTTCACCAGCACAGCTCAGTCAGCAGGAAAGACCTGGTACGGTCCATCGTCCGCCTTCTTCTTCATCCATCGGATGAACGCCTATCTCACCTCGGTCTTCCAAACCTTACACCCTGATGACCATATACAGCTGAAGTCGGTCGCAAAGATGTTCCCCACGCCCGACTGTCAGCTCCCGAGCGAGGAGCAGAAAATCGACGACAAGGAGCCGGCATTGTCGTCAACGAGCAGTGATTACCTCACGCCCTCCCAAGAAGAGTACTTCCTGAATCTGTACTGGCAGTCCTACCACACCTCACAGGTGGTTTTGGACGAGTCCGAGTTCAAGGAGCACTTCAAAAGCCTCCTGACCACTCCAGGCAAACCCCGCAAGCCCTGTCCTCTCATCGACATTGTCATTGCGTTGAGCATGCAAGTCGGCGTGGCACTTGCGCGGCGGAACACCTTGAGTCGCGCAGCGTCTGCCAAGGCAGATGTTGGGAAAGACGATCCCAGCATTGCCGGGCGCCATTATTATCGGCGATGCCAACGTCTCCTGAACAGCGAGCAAGAAACACCCACGATCATGACTGTTCAGTGTCACTTCCTCTCCGGTGTGTACCTCTGCTGCGCCGCCTTCCAGAACATGTGTCACACCTCGCATGCCTTGGCCATTCGCACAGCACACATGCTGGGCTTACACAGGGAGCCGCGCAGTGAACTTCCACCGGCCACGCGGGAACTGCATAAACGGCTATGGTGGACGATATATGGCTACGAGAGCAAAACGTGCATGAAGCTAGGTCGTGCATTCTACGCCGATCTTTCGTCCACCTCATGCAGCCTGCCCTTGGACGACCACACGGTTGCTCGGCTTGCAGGCTCCAATTTCGCACCTATTGACGAGGAGACTACGTTCTTGTCGTATACCTTACACAACACACGGCTTATCCTGGCCGCTCGTGTTGTTCATATGGCCTTCTTCGACCACTATTCCGATTACTATACGGGCGAAACCGGCCGAAATATATATGACGAGCCCGCCAGTCTGGAGGCATACGCAGGTTATCTACAGTCGGTCTTCCGGCCACTCGAAGATTGGATCCTTACTGTCCCGGATGCGCTGAAGAACAAGAGGGCCCATGGGGGTGTGCCGCTGTCAACCGATCGGTCTCCCCTCATCCTCGAGGAATATGCGCCGCAGTGGCTGCAACGGCAGCGCCTCTTGCTTGAGTTGCTGTACCACAACCTTCGCATGAATCTCTACCGAGTATTTATCACCTTCCCCTCTGCGACGCCAGTGCCATCGCCCCCAAACCCCATGGTCCAGGCGCATTCTCTTTCTGCGGCCGAGCATGCTATGGCCCTGACGTATATCATGCATCAGTCCCTCTCCGAAAACGATCTTCTCGCGGGCTGGCATGAAGCCTTCCAGTGGCTTTGGAACGCGGCGCTCACACTCGCTGGCTATTTATTTGCCTACCCTAATAGCAGCGTCGCTGGCCATGTTCGGGAAGCCGTTGATCGCTCCATAACAACGTTCGAAATCATCGGCCGCAGCTTCGGCGCTGCGAACAGCGCGGCCCTGGTCATGGCAGATCTGGCGGCCAAGTACGACTTCCTTGCCAGTCTCAGTCCGAGCCCCGCCGGTAATGAAATCCCGGCTCCTCCAACAACACTCCCGAGCGCACCAGCCGCTCCAACGGAACCGTTGGTAGCAACGGCACCACCTCCCACAGCCCAGTATGCGGACTACGGCGCCCCCTTTACGGCTCCCCCGCCCCTTCACAATGACCCCACCTCCATGCAAAACCTGCTTGCTGGCCCCATGGAGGCTTTTGCTGTCGACACTTCTGGCGACTCGGAGATGCTGTGGCCAACTATCGGCAATATGCCCGGCCAGTGGTGGTATGACTTCAGCCAGGCCCCCGCGTTGGGACCAGGAGTTATTGATGAGTCGTTTGCGTGAGTTCCTCGCCTGATGGCGTGGCTGGGATAGGACTTCAGATAGGTCTGGGTCAACACAGAGTTTCGTGTGAATGTAATGATAGAGAGGATTATGGTACTGGCGTTTCATATTTTGATCCTATGTGATCAGTACACACGGACAGAACGTAAATATGGATGGATTGGGGAGTCGAACTGAGTCTATTTTGGGAATGCAGATTGTTTTGGTCACCCCTGCTCCGCGTGAGATTACGTTGAGCACAAATGGGCATGTCACACTCGCAGAGGACATCCCGATGTCATTGACCTAGCAGCTCCCAGAGGCGCCCGATTACCTTCTCACTGGGATTTTTCAAAGCCTCACGATCGACATCTGCGCTACGGTTCGGTGGGTTTCTGCTTGGGAGACCAAGATAACGATGCTTCCAACGGCTCCTTCTTGATTTCCTCAACTGAATATCGACGCTATCCTCATCTCAGACGACGGTTGAGTTTAATCGGCAAGATCCTCTTCTCGCTATCCGACTCGCCGCTGACCATCTGATCCAACGAGAAGCGCGTGCTGCCGTCCCTTTTCGATGAACGGCTCGAAACGGGACGCAAAGGGACACTACCGGTCCGCGAAGGACGCGGAGAATGTGGCATTCCGGAAAATGGCGTAGTGGACGAGGGAGATGCTGGGGGTACATGTCGTCGCGCCGACGCTAACGCGAGCTTGTCCTGCACGTACACCCGCAGAATTGGGATCGACGACGCGATGATCGTCACCCCCGCCTCCGTTGCGGTCCAGACGATCTCGTCCATGGAGTCGTCTGAGGCGTGTCAGTCATGCACGTTCTGGATAGAACGAGTGCTTGGGACTACTTACAGGACATGTCCATCTGCGCCAGTTGGCTCAGGTTGATGCATCGCATGATGGCGGCGGCACCGGCACTTGGAATTTCGTCAGAATATGAAACAGGAGAAAGGATGGCCTGGATACTCACAGCCAACCGAGGCTCATGGCGCAGCCTACGCCCAATTTCTCAATCGGTTTCATTTGCAGGCCCCAGATGACCTGCCAGGGCAAGGATGCGAGGAGGAAATCCATGGCCGCCGACCAGGCGCCCTGGAAGACGCCGAAATTCACGGATATCTGCTTATTGTGGCAGACACCGGGGTAGAAGCTCACAAACGTCTTGACCAGCGGGTCACATTGCACCCAGGGGAGGATGGTCACGGGGATCCCGAACACTACCAGCGTGATGATGGCGAATATGTCAACGGCCT